GGGGGGGAAGAGCCCAAAACGAAGTTCCAGCAAGGAAGGCTGGCTCGGGCAAGTGGTGGGGTCCACGAGCCTGGGCTGGCCCAAAGGGGGAGGGGGCCCAAGCGACAGCCTGCGAGCTGGATGACGTCAGCGTGCTACAGTGCTTTTAAAAAGTATATATCATCACCCTTTGCCTCGTCATTGTCTTTTTCGTGTTCCTTTCTTTCCCCAAACAATTACCTTTCATGATCAAACACATGAACTTCCAGGAAGCCCTATTAAAAATACAAGCAACTTGGGCCAACAGAAGGAAAAAAAAACAAAACAAAACCTCAAGGTAACTGAAAAAATAAAACTAAAAAGCTAAAATCTTACAAGAATATGAATGACATTTTTTCGACTTCAAATATCTCTGTTTAGCACCAAGAAAACAGTAATTTGTTGATATCTCCTCCCACTCTGCTGTAGATTTGGTGTTCTAGCAACAGTTTAGCTCTTTACTCTCATTCTCTCTGAGAAATTGCAAGCACAACGCCCGATTATGAATGAAAGAATTGCAACGTATGGGGTAAAGCCTCAATTATCATGAGGGCATATTGTATTGATTTATACAGTATTACAGATAAAGTCCTATATCAAGTATGATAAGAATACAATGTAATCAGATAAGCAAGAGGAATCCCACATGGAATAAACGTAAATACAAGATAGAGTCCTAAGGACAATAGTCATCTAATACACCCCCGCAAGCTGACAGGGGAGGAACGCACTGGAAGCTTGGAGGTCAGCAACTGGAAACGTGGAATAGACAACCCCTTCATAAAAATGTCGGCAATTTGGTCATGAGTAGCAAGATAACGAACATCAAGCTCCAACCGCACAACTTTTTCACGAACATAATGATAATCGACTTCAACATGACGAGTACGCGCATGGAAGACAGGATTGGAAGCCAAGGAGATGGCGCTAATGTTGTCACACCAAAGTTTAGGACAGGAAAGAGAAAGCTGCAGATCACGAAATAGTGCACGGAACCAAGAAATCGCAGCAGCAGTATAAGCAAGTTGGCGGTACTCGACTTTGGTGCTGGAGTGAGAAACACCTCCTTGCTTTTTAGAACTCCATAAAATTAAATTAGACCCAAGATACAAACAGTAGCCACCCGTGGAGCGACGATCATCAGGATCACCGGCATAGTCCGCATCAGAATAAGCCATTAAAGACAAGGAACCAGGTTTATAGGACAAGCCATGAGTGGAAGTACCATTAAGATAGCGAAGAATACTTTTGACAGCAACCCAATGAGCAGAGGTAGGTTGGTGCATAAATTGGCAGACGTGGTTCACAGCAAACGCAATATCAGGGCGTGTGAGCGTGAGATATTGCAAGGCACCAACGACACTTCGGTACTCAAAAGGATCATCTAATGGAACACCTGTTGAACCAAAAAAATTCACAAAAAAAAAATTGGATTGTGTTTGGCTAAGCCCACGTCCAACAAGCTTATCTAATTGATAAGTGCTTCAAAAAAACCAAAAAAAAAAGTAAAGCCAATTATCCAATAGGTTTTCCAAGTCTCAAAGCCAAGGGATAAAACAATTCAAAGGTGGGTTGATCCCATGTGCAAATCTCCTAAAGGCTCCTAAAGGAGTTAAAAAAAAAATAGGAGTTTGACCAACCAATGAAAACTCTCAAGAGAGTTTGGTGGTTCCTATTTTGGTGGAGTGATTATTGCATGAAGAGTCCTTCACAATCACAAAAGTGATTGCTTGCGGCTAGCCTACAAAAGGCAAGGCTATGGAAATAAAAGGGGG